CAAGTCGTAGCTTACTCAGGGAAATATCTCAATATTGTCATAGATGATACGCAAAAGTTAAACGAGTTCAGTAAAATTTTACGGGCTTGACTCGAGACCAACAGTAGACCATCTTAGCAACCAGTGAAAACAGTCAAATTGAAAAATTAGCGATTAGACTAATTAGGACTTCCGTCATACAATAACAAGCTAAGAGTTCTTAGAAGAAAAGCACAGCACTGTACATCGACAAGCCCTCAATCGAACAACTTGTACTGGAGCTGTTCTCAATATTGAAACTGAAACGGAAACGCTGCGATTGAAACGAAGTCAGGTTAGCTTTCATCCAGATTTTTACATAGATATATGTATATATGTAGAATATATGCAATATATGCACTGTCGGGAGAAAGGGATGGTGTATGGGATATCCGCGGTTGTAGCGTACTCGTGAAAGTTTTACAGAGTGCGGCAAAAGTTCTGGCAACGGTGAACATGTTCGTAAAAACTGTCAAATCGATCGATACATGATGCTATTTCAACAGCATTTAGCATCAGCTATATAGATCACAAAAACAACCTAGTTCTTGACATGGCTCCTTTTTGCGCGAATACGGGCTGAAATTCTCCTAGGAGGTGCGTCGACGGCGGCACGGAGGTAGTCTTCGTCCGAATCTTCCCTGCTTCAACGGGGGTTGCACGTGGAGCATCCAAACTTTTATGCTGGGTGGAGCAGGCTTTCCTCTTGAGAGCTGACTGACGGAGTAGTCCAATGGATTTAGGTCTGGACTGTTTGAGGGCCAATCCTTCGACGAGGTGAAGTCTGGGAAGTGCGTTGCGCACCAATCCTGTACCACCTTGAACCTGTGTGCTGGAGCTGAGTCCTGTTGATAAGTCCAAGTCCAGTTGCCGAAATGGGGTTGTGCCCAGGGGAATACCTATTCCTCCAACACGCTTTTTAAGTAAGTCTTGCTATCTACCTTGACCCCTTTCTCCAAGAAAATCAGGGGCATCTTGCCCCTGATCTTGCCGTCCGATGTGATTTCCCCAAAAAACCATCAACGACTTGGGGTGTCCAGATCGCTGAGCAATCCATCCATGTTGGCTGGCTTCTGCAGGGCTCCCCGCTATTACACTATCGTTTTGGATGTTCAGGAATTGATCTGTTGAAAACAGACACTCGTCAGTGAAAAGGATGTTGGTGTGCCGAGCCTGTGGAAATCGCTTTAAAGGCTTCTTACATCTTTCGAGCCTACTTTTCTTCATACGCTCAGTAAGCAGTGTGAGCTTTCCTGATCTTATAAAAGCGAAGTCGAAGGTTTCTGGTGACAATCCTTCCAACAGTTCGAGCAGAAATACCCACCTCAAGAGCCATTTTTCTCTCGGACCTACGCGGGTGGCGGCGGATTTTCTCTCTAATAATTTTCACGATCTCCTTCGTTGTTGCACTCTTCGGTCTTCCACATCTAGGCTTGTCCTCCATAGTTCCTGTCGCCTTGTACCTGTTTATGTTGTTGCACACGGTTCTTAAGGGGATCTGGAGCTGCTTGGAGATGGTTTTTGCAGTGCATCCCGCCAGATAGAGGTGCAGGATGGAGGCTCGTTGGTCTTCGCTTGTCACCATTCTGTTAAATAGCTTATTTAAGAACGTCCAATTTGTGAAATGTATAGAAGAAGACTCGCAGAAAGTAATGGCACAGATTCTGTCGAGATCGACGGCTTCCCTGAAACGGGCATTTGCCAGAACTTTTGCCGCACTCTGTATAAGGCGTCATATCCTGGTTAATTCTGCAAATGCAGTTTCCTTCTTTTGCTTTTTCATGTGTTGATCTGCTAGCCCCGTCTGTCATTAAAGGCACAGTTCACGATAATTTTGAGGTAGGCGTTTTATTCAAAAAGCGGAAGTATAGATGGGGAATAGTTTGAAAAGTTTGAATAAAGCGAGAGAATTCGCCGATTTCGTAAAAACTGTAGCTCCTCAAAAGTAGGGAAAATAGAGGTTGGGCGAGATCGCCATGACGGGAATTACACGGAAGGGGTATTCGGACTAGATTTCAGTTATTGCAACTGCACAAAGAGTTGACTGCATCATGCCAGAACATCAAGCCAGAACTGTACAGAACTGCCTTTCACTGTCGCTATGGGCCATGACAAGTTGTTTGAACTTCCTACATGGATTCCCTTGCGATCGGTCCAGCCTCTACAATGCCTGTGAAACTCGTCCGAGGAAACATACGGGATAATCCTTGAGCTTTTATAACTCCTTAAGTAGGCCGTCTCCCGACTCAATAGTGCCAGATATGGTATACGCGGGGGCCTCAACTTCATTCTGTGGGGGGAGTCTCGGAAACCTTTTTTCGTGAACTATGCCTTTAACTGACAAGGATACAACAGGGCAGGGATCCATTTCAAGTGAAGCCGGTTAAAATGGGGGAATAAGAATTTGTAACAAAACGGAGACAATCCAAGCAACAAGCCTATGGCGTTCCTTCCTACACTGGCAAATGTAAATCGAGAATCTCATGTTGCGACTTTTTGATTTTTGCTTTCAGAGAACCCTCGGACTTTTCCACTTTGTTTTTTTCGCTGGACTTCTGTTTCCCACCTTCGACAAGGATAATAATGGACGGTTACTAGAGTTCAATCCATCATAGGATAACAGATCGTACATCGGCTAAAATCACTGGTGGCTACTGAAATGACAAAACAAAAAGATATTCGAGTTGGCTCCGCATGTAGTTTAGAGGCAACTCACAAGTAGATATAGACTGTGATTCACCTCGTTCGAATACTAATGAGGCAAACGGCGCCCCCACCATCACCGGTTAACGATTAATCCTCTTGTCGTTTCGTGTTGTCGATTCGTTGGTCTATGTTTCTCTAGTTGGATCCCTCGGCCCCCATCGAATGTTTTTCAGTTGTTTCATCTTTTTTTGGAATTTTTCCATCACTAGGCCGGAAGAGATTTGACATCGAAATCTCCCAGCTTTATACGAAGTTCAGGGTTTATTTTTCGGAAGCACTTAAGTCTACATAATCGTCCTACAGAGACTTCTTAGAGAATTCAGCCGGCTTTTTCTCGCAGTACTTATAAGTTAGATGCCTGTAGCTGCCCCGACACCTTTTTTGGAGGAGTTCCAAAACTGGGCGAACAGTGTTTCTGAATAGTCCATATGAGGCACAGCTTCACATGAAAAACTTTTACATTTTGTCTGTGACGTTCGAAACCTCTTTACAACAAGTTTCAGTGACTAGAGAGTAGACAGATAGGCAGATACCGGAAATCCTCGTACTGCTTTATGCCATCTTTGTTGCGCTCTACTATAATATTTGTGCTGTGCATGGAGACAGAAACTTCGATATCTTTCTTCCCTATCTGAAGCCCATGCTCTGCCCTCAAGAGGCATCATTGCCCCCCGTTCCATGAGTTGCCCTATAATGACAATCAGTGCGGTTGCCTAGTTAGTCAGTTAGTTGTAATGAGGTACACCAAGGGTCCTAGTTGTAGATCTTTGATGTACCCCATTACTTCTTCCGAGAACCTTGTGAAGCTCCTGTAGCTGTCTTCGCAACATAAAAGTACAGGCAGTACTGATCACAGTGACCTCTACGAAATTCAATAACAGACCTTCTTTCAATATTTCATTCTCAACATTAAGAGAATTACGTAAGGGTGTGCATGTAGCACCGCTTTATTCATTATATGCTCTACTTCACAACACCTTCTTTGGAAGGCGGTGTGACATAACTTTCATAGGCGCATGGCGGCTGTGCAGCGGTTTTTCAACGCTATGGCGCCATATCGCGTCACATATACTGCCAAAGTTTACGACCGAGTCGACGGCATATATGACCCTCAGCTTTAGGTCGAGTAGGCGCCCAAACAGCTTCACGGTACGCGTAATCAACTTGATCATGCAATTGCTCGACTACTGCACTACATCTCCCTGATGTTTGAAGATAAGAAAAATTGTGCACTTTTTCTAGCTATGGCTATGCATGGCAGTGCTCATAAAGTAAATCACGTGCTCTCCCAGCGATTCCAGCGTTCACCGCCTATGCTCACTCAAACTGTTCTGTCGTTCAGTCGAGATCGTTTACTCCCGACAGCCATCTCGTGCTCACCTCATATACGACATCCCAGCAATGATGTGGCTGCTTATTCTGATCATGATTGTGTAAGGGATTTCTTCGTAATGGATCTTGGCATATCCGCCAAAAGTGTAAGACCGCTTTTACAATAATGGCGGCATAGTTTTGCCTCGGCTCCGGGAGGGGAGAATCCGCGTCCCATATGATTGCGAACCTGAGCGTTCATATATCCCTACTTAAGGACCTAAGGAGACACACAGCAGTAGAAATCCTACTTATATAGTTCGCTGCATCCGTATGAATGTGCGCGTAAATATGGTTGTCTGACCGGAAATTCACAACTCCTGTCCTACTGGACCTGGAGCATTCATATTCGGTAAGATCACAGTCGGCAGGATGGAAACAATTATGGTGGGTTGCAGGACCGGATTACAGCCACAGGAGGCATGACTTGAGCGAAGTTAAGATTCGAGCGCGTAACAAAGGTCAATTTGGGCTAGGGCGCTTAAATTTGCTAGGAGACAGGATGGGAACACTAATAATGAACACTCATAATACGTAGGAGGGCAAGATCCGTCCGCGAGGGCGGAACGTGCGTGTATGGAATGAAATGAGTGTGATTCTAGTGAAAAACTCATATTGAAAAAAGAGGGAATAAACACTCATCATGAAAAAAGCAGGGAATAAAGCAATGTACTTAAGCATACATGAGTTGAGCAGAACTCCACACCTCCATCCACTGTAGCTTTCCTCCCAATTTCCATTTTCTTGAAAACGATGGGGATACGCAACGCAATATTCGCGTGGAATTTTAAATCGAAATTTGTCACGTTGTAAGCAGTTTTCAGGGAACATCTATCGCTGAAACGTCTTTGGCCGTCTTTGGCCGTCTCTGCCCGATAAACAGTGGAATTCAAGGATTTGAGTTGATGTTGATATTGCGAAATTACTATCTATTCGTATTTTTGTTCATAAATGGCATCGGTACTACAGAGACCGACGACAAATTCTCCGGCCTCCCAGACGCAAGGAAAAAGGAGCTCCTAGAGGTTAGTCAACAATATGTGGATTCTGTATTGCTATGAAGCAGTGGTCATTTTTCATTTCGAATAACGAGTCTTCCGCCCATATTCGCGCGATTTTGAGCAAAGAACTCGAAACTGAACGCAAATCTTCCGAAAATTAGTTTTTCATGTAACGCTCAATAAGTGCATACCGTACTCGATCCCCCTTTCACACTGTCCGATGTCGCTCCGCCTTCGTTGCGATTTTCAAAGCTTCTCCATTCCAAACACAAACGTTTCGCCCAGATATTGTTTCACTACCCTTTTTCAGTGGCTCATAATTCGCCTTTTTCACTTCTACCAAAACGAGAACGCTAAACTAATGTAAGAACTATAGTACAAAGAGCGCGCAAACGCGGTCACGCCCCTACCTTTCAGAACATTTTCCCTATGACTTCACGAAATTACTACTACGGAATCCTTCGTCCATTTATGAAGAAGACTTCTGTTCTGTTGAAGATTTTGTTGAAATACTGCAACTATTGATCGAACATGATAATTTGAACAAGACTTGGCAGAATTATAATAATAGGTTGATCCTTAATTATTGCGGATTTTTTCGCGGCTTTTCTTCTCTCGATACAAATTGAATATGGAATTCGGACTTCACTAGGAATGATCTTCTTACTTTCCTTAACAGAAACATTTCTAGAAAGTCATCTTCATATACGCCACATTATGTTCTATTATTTCGAGATAGGTTGGAAGATGGCACAGTCGTAAAATGATCTCAGCGTACTTGGCGGTAATGGAACAGTCAGCCAAAGCCAGATAAGGACTGGAATCTGCTTCTTTTACGCTCGCCCTATTCACCAACAATAACTCCTCTGGATTATCACGTCAATCGCCCTTTGGAAAGCTGGCTAATGAACAGAACTTTCGACGAAATGGATGGCTTGATGTCCGACGTCAGGGCGTGGATCGCCTCCAAAAATCGAAACCTTTTCGCCTGTGGAATCCGAGCGAAATGGAAAGCAGTGTTTGACATATTTCCAACGTTTCTTCAAGTAAAATTTGCTGAAAAAAATCCGCAGTAATTATGCATCAACCTAATGTTATAAAAGCAGCTGCTCATCGTTTCTTAGAGTAGCATGCTCATGCGTTCCGTTCCATATACAAAAAGCCGGTGCGTCCGGCTAGCGCATGCTCTCCTCATTTTCGTGTTAGAGTTGATCCGCCACCTGCGGTCTTCCAAATTTGGGTACTCCTGCCTAAAAAAACATGAGTCACATATTGATTTCCAACGTAACAAATACACGCACACCACAGAATTTGTCGCACCCTGCCCCATGTGCAACGTCCTGCTCAAGTCCTATGTTTTCTTGTAATTTGATTCATTTCCCGCTCATCTCATTGCAACTTGACGACGTTTTTGTACTCAGATTACGCTCATTTCTTGCACACTCAGCCACCCGGTCCACACGCTCTAGGTCCGAACTAACCCGGATCTAGTTTTACTAATGACCTACAATGCCTTTGTTACATCCCTACATACCTTTACTCCCACATTAGAGGGCCTTTAACGCCCCGTGAACGTGTGATACAGTAACCCCTAGTGCCCCTTCCGACAGACACATTGACACACTCAAAAATACACACAGAGTGTACCAACAGGCGCCTTTCTAGCGTTAGGTGTGTATACTATTCCTTTCCCTCTTATCAACTACATATTTGCAGGCCTACAGCAAATCTGATGTCTTGATAGTTCATCAAAAGTTAGCAGAACTCAGGAAGAAATGGATGGAGAAACTCAAAAGTAAAGAAGCTGCTGGCAATCAACCTTTACGAAGGAGACTGAATAGCGTAAGTCTTTCCTGACAGGAAGTTTACATTATTTCGCTGTCAGAAACTTGAAGGCACAGTTTACGATAATTTCAATGTATCCTTTTTGGATTTAAGAGCAGAAGTTGAAAGTTGGTGGAGAACAGTGCATCAGTTTTAAGGTAGGGCATGCTTCGTTGTTTGAGTTCCCTGCCGTTGTCTCTTCCGGATGGTGCAGCCTCAACATTGCTCGCTAAAATTTGTCCGCCTTAGGTGTGGCATACAGCCGATCTATTTTTCAATCCCCTACAACGTTCTATCTAGGCCGTCTTCCGATCAAACAGCGTCACATATGGTATACGTCAGACGATAAACACATCTTTCAGGAGCATTTCAATTAACAAATTTCATCGAGAGCCTTTGATTGACAGACACTACCGAATATCTGTTATTGAAACTTCAATGGAATAAGTTAAGGTCGCTAATTGGTTGCTCAAGATAGTTGTTTTACTGGTACAGCAGCCAGCAGTCCTGTAACAATTAACCTTTTTCAGAATCTGAACAAATTTACTGAGGGTATTGGATATCTGCCACAAGCAATTAGAGTTTCCGGGCAGTCTCAAACACTCAGACTGCAGTGTGCGTACATGGCCCTGTGAACTTATAGAGACGAGGAGGGTAATATGTAGTCCAAGAGCGGTGGTGTTTCGACCACATAAATCCAAAATCGTTTATCCGTCAGGTTTATCTAGGAATAAAATACTCAGCATACCAATGATTTCATCTTGTCCAGGAATTCCCTCGGAAAGATTACTGCATCGAGCTGATTTTTAAGCATTCAGAAGTAGCAGGTACAGGTTAACCCTAGCGTTCGTTTTCAGTTAATGCCGAATATGCTTCCCCAAGAAAATGGCCCAACAGTTCTCCCCATCCACGAAATCAACAGAGACGCAAACCTCAGCGAGTTCTTGTACCAAGCGGACATGGTTCTCACTATGTGAGTTCTAAGCACAAGTCTGTGCCGTTCTTCTTCATTTCACTTGCACGATGTTACAGAACTCAAGCGGAGCAACTCGGGAAAGACAATGACGACGTTCGGGCAAAGCGTCAGGCCTACCGCGACATATTCTATCCAAACACAATTTGGGGAAGGACAGTTTTCTACTTTTTTGATCCATCAGCACGTAAGTCATACACATGCATTCTGCTGTTCACAAGCTGGTTTGGTTCTTATGCACGCATGCGCTCACTTAGAATCTTCTTTTCCAACCCCCACTTTAATAAACACCAGTTGGGCTACGCACGCTAATGCGTGCACCACATGCCCACTACCGCTTACCTACGACTTGTTAGAGGACCAATATGAACAGTATCGGTTGACTTCCCATTTTATAACTCTTTCCTTACCGCGCTCACATGACATTCACACTCTTCGTCGTGCCTACGTTACTTTTAGAAGGACGCAATATAAAATATAAACAGACTCGCAAAACTACCGCTTTATATATAGAGACAGTCGCCCGGCTATCGCCGAGCTTTCCTCTTTCATTGAGTTCAAGTAATAGGCAACCGCCTCCCCTCCCCCCCCCCCCCCCCCCCCCCCCCCCCCCCCCCATTTTCCCCATTTTTGAAACGAATGATGCTTTTCTGAACGCGAAATCCTACACACTCTACACAACTTTGACACGGGACCCCAAAAAGAGGGGAGCTGGCATGAGCAGGGCAGCGCCAGTAGTATTTAAGGTGTGCCGACGCTTACGCCTGCGTTTAAAAATTGTCAATGGGTCGCTCTTCATCTTCATCTTGAAAATTATCAACCATTAAAGGTTAAACTGATAGGCAACCAAAGAATTGAGTAGTACTCTCAAATGTCCTCAAGTAATAATAGCACCATTATCAAATGTCGTTATCACTGGACCTTTTTTCCTCCAAGGATACATCATTAGTTGAAAATCCCAAATTTTTGGCGGTCGGATGAGCTTTGCGGTAAATAATATCAAAACATAAAGTAACCTCGATCTTCCATCGAGTTACAAACATTGCTGGGTAGCGGTCTTAATCTATATAATAGTCGTAATCATAAATACATCGTAAATACCACAGGGGTTAAATTCAGTTGGTATGTGCTCTTGTCAGTCGCTATCAGCTGTTATCACTTCCTATCATCGCTCGTCTACGATCCCGCCATACTCCACATCACATATCAAACTGTCAAGGCTCCATTATTAATGCCATTATTGTAGTGGCTCTACGCTTTCCAGGATTTTCATTAGCCCTTGCCAGTTTTTTCAGCTCCTGGCCTGACACCAGCCGTTCTCGATCCCATCACCGGGTACCTACGATCCTGTCACATCTTACATAACCTATTAAAATTCCTAGATTCCATTCTTAACAGAAAGTGCGTTACAGTTCTAGTGGCTCTCACTAACTATGGTTCATCAGCCTCTATCACTTGCATTCATTCCCTGTCACCAATCATTTACGGTCCCTTCACGTCCTACATCACCTACCAAAGTGAGGGTGAATAGGTTCGTTATCCCCTTCATGTCAACAGTGGTACCTTGGTATTCAAACATTGTTCTTTGATATTTTTCATTCAATAAGACAGGTAGATGCAGTGATAGGAATCGATCAACGGCAATTCTCCATAACGAAGTAAAAATTTGGTTTATTTTTTGCTGTTGAACTACGACCGCTATCCAGCAAAGTTTCTGACTCAATGACACATCATTGTTTCTTTTTGTTTCGGTATCTTTTGTGACTAAACTCATCCGACTGCCAATGATCCCAGGAGTTCCCAATTAGTGATAAATCCGTAGCGAAGAAAGGTTCGCTGATAACCGAATCTGATAATGCGCGGCATTATCACTCGACAGCATTTGTGAGTACCACTCAAGACGTTAACTGTCAGTCAGTTAAGCCATCGTTGAGATATGTCTTTGAATGAATTTGATGTCTTGATTTGATTTGAGATGATGTCTGTTTTCTTCAAGAGAGCCTATACGATATGCTACGACGACATAATCTATTCGAGCTTCAGTTTCATACTCTGACTCAGCTAACAGCGTTCTAACTTCGAAAAAAGAAATAAAATTCCCCCAATTCACTATTCCTCAGGATAGAGTGTTTGACACAAGAAGGAGGGGAGCCCGGCGTTAGCTGGGCGATTCGACTGGTAAAGGATAAACGAATAATTTTGTATTGCAGTAATGAATAGCTCAGTGGAAGAAATGTTCTTCGGATATGGTCAAATTATCCTTCATTCTCTGATAAATCTCTTTGACAGAAGCAGCAGCTCCCTGAATTGTACATTTTTTTGGTTTTTGGCCCTCTACAGTACTGCACTATAAATCAACGCCTACACTCAAAGACAGTCTTTTCTGGAAGGCAGCCCAATAATTTTTGTTATAAGATTTACCAGTCGGATCGCCCGGCTAACGCCAGGCTCTCCTCCTTGTGTCAAACACCCTATCCCGAGAAAAGTTGAACTGAACAAGTGATCTTTTTTCCCTTTTTCAGAGTTTATAGAGTTTATAGTCTTTAAGTTTTTTCCCGCTGTTCAGCTGAGTTTGAGTTTTTCCCCGCTGTTCAGCTGAGTGAGAGTATGAAACTGAAACAGAACTCAAAATCCTTCTTTGACACAACAGAAATTGAAAGCTTCCCTAATTCTTTGATAAAGTGATAGTAACTCTAACTCTCCACTACTTTTCTGAAACAAATGACAGCTTCCTGTGCACGAAGTTTGACGCAGGGCTAACGGTGCAGGTGGTACTCAATTGAGGTCGGTGCTTACGCCTTCGATTGAAAGTCTCGAACTTCTGCTCTCTTCCTTAGAAATGAATACCCATCAAAAATCCAAATGTTGGACAATCAAAGATTATGCTGTGGAGATGCTCTGAGCGATGATAGCACCGTTATCGATGTTCTTTATCGATGGACCCTTTTCTTTTCGGAGATATCATTAGTTGAGAGTTCCAGATTACTAGCGGTTGTCAAGTTTTGTCGCAAACTATATCAAGCAAAGAGGATCTTCCATTGAAGCACAATCCTTGCTGGGTAGCGGTCGTAATCTACTAGTAAGAAATGAACAAAGTTCTAATCTGCTTAGCGCAGTGCCGCTAATGTGTCCCTATCACTCGTCTTATCGAATGAGACATACTGAACAGTCAAAGCTACATCGTAAATACCGAAGGGTTAGTTGGTCCCTAATTTTCTCTTATCACTTATGATCAGTTTTTGACACCGAGTACCTACGATCCCGTCATAGCCTACATCACTTACTTAAGTGCTGATGTTCCACTGTTAGTACGAAAAGTGTAATCCTTCCAAAGTTCAACGCTGTAGGTCCACGTAAACAGGAGTTATGAATTTGCGGCTCAAAATTTCTATCGCGCACGCTCCGCCCCCTGTGCATGGAATGCGGTCCCGCCACCCATCACAAGTGTTCTCATCCTGCCCCCCCCCCCTCTCCCTTCCAAGTATGAAAGTTCTCGGTCCATAGGGACAGGAGTTATGAAACTGCGGCCTGAAATTTCGTTCACGCACGCCCCGCCGCCTGTACACGTGGTACGATCCCGCCACATTCTATAAGTGTTCACATCCTGCCCCCCATACTCCTACTAAGTTTGAACGCTCTAGGTCCACGGGGACAGGAGTTATGAATTTCCGGTCAGGCACACACACACAAACACACCGACAAACTAACAGACACATTTAGCGGATTATATATAGTAGAATGGGTTTATTTTCATTTATGTATTCTGTCTTAATCTCATATTCTCACTGTCTTTGACTACCTCATGATGTGCCTTTCTGGCATAGCTACAGAGGGCATCATTACTTCCATATCCCTTATCTTTGCTATGCGCATTCTGCACAGTTTATTAAACTTCAGTTGAACTTCACTCTACTACTAACTTTCACCCTTGCTCCCACAGTTATGGCTTCTTCACTACGATTTTACGCAAAATATTACCCTTGTCATTGGAAACCACGGACTGATGTAATGAAGGATAAAAGGACGAAGTTTTCGGCTACAAACAATCCCGTCTGAGGGATGCGCCCCCGCACTCGACTCCATTCAGAATCGTAGGGGCGTAATGAGTGCGTATCTGGCCTGTACAATGACTTGCGGCGGCCAGCCATTGTATAAATCAGTGCTTTAATCCTCCCGAACGAGTCTGGTACCAATTGAGCGACCCAGGAACGATGTAAGGCTTGGTTCGTCTAGGCGGATATTGATCCAAGATTCCAAGACCCGTGACCATGCGTGTGTGAAGTGCGCCACTTGTCACTACACCACCTATGCCCGACTCGGTCAAACATTCAAATAAATCAATTCTGATCGCGGTCCCATAGTCAACTCCATAGCTCTTGGTATCTAGTTTGGTGGACCCTTTGTTACGTCTCTTGCTCCTACATGGCCAATATACAAAAAACAGCATACCGACCACTTTTTTCAACTTATCAAAGATTATTTCCCTCACCTTCAGCATACTTATAAATACCACCATTTTAAGCCGCTGATGTTAAAGCAGCGTTCTCAGCCGCAGCTCATTTCTGGCAGAGCAACACATGTATTAAATTCGTCGAAGATAGCACAGGTCGTTCCGAATCTTTTCTTCATTTGTTGAAATGTAACAGTTTATATTCAGCGCTGAATAGGATAAGGGTGTTCAAAGGAGATGGATGCTACTCTTACGTAGGAAAAGTCGGTGGACAACAAGACTTGTCACTGGGGAAAGGGTGTGAAAGCGTAAGCGTTCACTCAGTGACAATGATTACCACTTTCATAGCGGCGATATTCTAGGTAGGAACAGCTGCACACGAACTCGGTCACGCTCTGGGATTCTTCCACTCCCAGTCAAGGGTGGACCGGGACTCTGCTATCAGTATAATCGTGGAGAATATTCAAGTAAGTTTGAACATTAGTTGGAGCAACCACGGTACAAAAATGTCAGTGATTTCCAATGAGGGGGAACTTCGACTCAGTTCATTGAGCTCTACGAACAGGTGGAGTTGAAATTTGAAAAGTCAACGCTATAGTCTTTGGTCATCAAAGGTTCTGAGGGTTCGTCGTGAGCAACAACGCTTGCTATAATTACAATCGCAAGGTATCCATTTTGTTGAAAACATTTTGTGTGTTGTGAAGTGGCCAACATATTCCAAAATTAATCGGAGAATAGATTGTCGCATTTTTCAGGCTGTATTGGTCATATTGATATTAATGTTCTAAAAATGGATGAAACTGGGCGAGCGGTAATTTTCAATGACAAGGGCTTCTTTTATTAAATGATAGCGATATAGGTCCGTTTCTGTTCTCACTGAATGGTACATCTAAGTACATCTAAAGTGGAAGTACAAGATTTTTGATGTTAATCAATTCCGTCTGAGGGATGCTCCCCCCACTCGACTTCCATGCGGAATCTTAGTGGAGTAATGAGTGCGTATGTGGCCTATACAATGATTCGCGGTGGCTAGCCCATGTACAGGTCAGTGCTTTTATCCTTCCAGACGAGTCTGGTATCAATTCACCGACCCCGGAGGGATGGAAGGCTTGGTTGGCCTAGGCGGGCATCGATCCGGGATTGCCCCTGACCGTGTGTGTGATATAGTGCGCCACTTGCCACTACACCACCTCCGTCGATGGTACATCTATATTTCAAAAATAGCACTTCTTGTCGCGACTCCTCGTGGCCGCCCTTTTGGACGCGATCCGTATCGGTAGTACTCGAGCCCACAAACCTCCGCGCTCACCGGACTACCACGTTCTACCTGTGCCCCGGACAGAAGGGCGGACCACCCCCCGCCGAGGACCAGGGGGTGTGTTAGATGGAGAAGGCCTCCGCCTAACCTAGCGACCCCCGCCATGGACTTCGCGGCGGGGATTCCTGCCCCCGACACAGGGACCAGCACTACATGAACACGTCACAACGTACTCGATCCCGTCGGAACTAGGGTGCCCTACCTCACCTACTCGCAATGCAACGTACAGAAGCAAGGGATGCGTAGTTTATTAGACTACTAATTATCACTACAACTAAATTACTTCAAAAAGAATACATAAAAGGGGATTAGGACTACCGATGAGAACAATCCAAAGGGGCTCAGAGCAATAGAGGCGTAATAAAACGACAAGAGTAATACGCTAATAGAAAAGGCCCAATGGGCAAAGGAGTTAATGGCAATAAATACACAAGAATTATAAAGCATATTTGCAAAACGTATTACACGACGATCATCCTTCCTTCAATCTGTAGGCGCCATCCAAGGCAAGCTCCTTCAGCTGTTATATCCAGGCATCGGCGCTCTTCTTGCCTTCCTTCCTCTTCAGTATCCCATAGGTGACAACTTCCGCTCTTAGTTAGGGGCAGTTCGAATACTTGTCGGGCATACGCTGGCGCTCGGTTGCTTTGCGGGCAATTTCACAGCCTTGCCCGGCTACACAGAACAGCAGCCGACAGCCAGCCGGTCGCGGTGCAGGACGGGTGCCGACTGACTAGGCTATTCGAAGGAATGCGTACAACGCGCGCATCCGCGACGCATTGTGGCTGCCGAGCAAAGATGGGCCGGAGCGCGCACGGTGCGCCCAGCGGCCACCTTCCCATCCGCGACGCTTCTCTTTAGTTTGAGAATGCCTGGGGTAAAGAGTATTCATAATAAACTCTTTCTGATCAGTTTCTATGTACAATTTGTCTAGAACCTCGAACCTTATATAGGGTTCTGATGACGCCCGAAGCGCAAAAAACCTAATTTCTTTTTTTTTATGACACGTTATCTTCCGTTAACTTATACAGTTGAAATAAATTTTTCAACAGTTCCACTTCCAACTTTCTCCTCCAACGCCACTCTCCTACCCTTCTCAATCACATTTAGCTATGTGATCAGCAGGCCGAGACGGAGTATTGATTGGACTTGCTTGATGTGTGCCATTAACCGAACGTCCTCAGAAATTTGAACTTCTAATTGAATGGGTACGTTTCCTATGTACAACTGCTTTCAATGAAGCAGATCACTTTGCAAACAAGATGTTCGGATTCTAACGAGATTGAATCATACGTGCATATTTTATTTTCATAAAAAGATGGTATTACTTCAAATTTGAATTTTTATCGTTTTTGACTCACATAGTCTGTAAATCGATGGAAGCGCCATTTTTTCGAGCTGCCTACTGCTCATCGAAAGGATCCTAAGTATTTTCCATTGAAGAGAAGTGCCACTTTTGAGTACAGCTATTTCATACGTTGAGAATGGGAATAAAGTCATATACTACTTTTCATTTCAAAAGAGCCGCTGTCATTCGAGATTGCCGCGTGACCAAATTCATCCAATTGTTAAAAACATAGTGTCGAAATAACTACATAGTACAGTCCGAGAAACGCGACAACTTACCTTTCGTTAAGTTTCGAAAAGTGTTGGCAAATCTATATCACGCTGATTATTTTCGATGGAAGCGAATGCCTTCTTTTTATAACTGCAGCGGTTGTCGTTGCTAATAACGAACTTAAAGAACTTTGATGTGACAAAGACTCCAGGATTTTTTTTTTAAATTTTAGTTCAGCACTTCGTGGTATTCGACCAGCTGAATCGAAGTATGTACACTGATGTGCAAAACTTAGGGACGAGATGGATAATGTAACATAAAACATTGAGGACTGGGTGAAAATAAATGAAAGGGTGGGATTATATTGCCAGACCTATGACGGTTATGCACAGGAAGTTGAACATCCCTTCGTGGAGTAATACTCCAAATAAAGCGAAAAATATGGCTACCCGCACAAATCGAGGCAGTTGATGGGTACGGAAATTTTTTTTGTCAGTCAGCCAGTAGCTGCCAAGTACTGTGGTGTTATCCTTCTATACATCATATCCCGCGGACATCGTCTAGATGATCTAGCATGAGGGAGGATCATCGAGAAGCTCGAAAAAGGTCGAAACATGATGAGTGCAGCTCAGGAACCTGGTATCGCTGCAGCTCAGGAACCTGGTATCGCTCACAGCGTTGTTACACGTGCACGGAGAGCATCCCGAACCTCTGATACTGCTGCACGAAGGAGAGCAGGTGGACAACCAAGAACAACTACATAACCGCTACATTATGCAGCAAGCAAGAAGAGATCCACGTCGGTCAGCTTCTTTGATTGCAATGTCATTTAACAGGATTTCAAAGCAAGCCATCTCACGCACTACAGTGGCACGACGACTGCACGGTTGCGGTCTCTTCGCACGACGACCACTTCGTAGTGTTCCTTTAACCTTCGCGAATTGGCGAGACCGTTTAGGGTGGTGCAAGGAGCATAGCGAACGGACCGATGAGAAATGGGGCCGTTCGCTTTTTTTGGATGGGAGCAGATTCAGTCTGAGTAGTGATTTTGGATGCGCCCTCACGGCCAGAGGTGTGGACACGCACATCTTTCGGAAACGTTGTGGAACTTGATCGCTCTGGTGGTCGAGGTGTTATGGTATGAGGAGGCATCATGCTTCGTACCCGTACTATCCTCCAGATTTTTGAGCGTTCGACTCTTAACAATTGGCGTTACTGTGAAAAGAAACCCCTTTCTAATGTGTATCTTTTCTTCTACAGTAAGCCCTGAATTCATTTTTATGGACAACAATGCGCGACCGCACCGAACAACTTAGGTTGAAGAGCTCTTGACACAAGAGATTATCCAGTGAATGGAGTGGTCTGCCCGTTTCTCCGACCTGAATCCCATCGAGCACGTGTAGGATGCACTGGGTAGAGGCATTGCAACACGTCCAACTGCATAACTAACCATCCAGTAGTTGTCAATTGCGCTGATAGAGGAGTGGAATGCCCTACCACGATACCTCATTTCCAACCTCGTGGAAAGTATGGTATCGCGTTGCAGAGCATTTACTGCTGTTCGTGGTGATCACGCACCATGTTAGCAACCGAGTCGCCTTTTTTGAAGTACTAAATTAAGTTGTGAGGAACTATGTGTAATCGGTACCTTTCAATAAAAATGTCTTAATTGCTCGCTCTATTTTGGTTTTCTGCCAGTTGCTTCCTGTGCAATACCGTAATGATCCTCTATTGGTACTGCATAAATTTCATCAAGCTCAGTCGTCTGGCAGAGGTACAGTAATCGAAAGTTGCTTTCGTCCCTAAGTTTTGCACGCCAGTGTAACATTCTGTAAAGAAAAATCAAGACTGACCTTGTCACAAAGAAAAAACAAGAGGAAAGTGCAGTGGCATTTTTCGTGACTTTCTGAACAATTAGGTTGGGTGAAGACGTGTAGATATGCAGGTAAAGCACACCTTGTAGTAGTAAGCGAGATGGAAGGGGCAGTAGCGGTGTTCTGGGTTCTGTCATGCGTAATAATATATTCGGGTCACGAGCCAATTTTTGGAGAGAGTGTAAATGGTATTCTGATTTTTCAATTTTTATTATAAAATAGGAATTCCGTTCACTTTCACGTGTATTGTACTAGTATCCTATTTGGAAACCTACAAAATGAGTTATGGCTCTGCTTATAGCCCAGTTTTGTGGATCAATTCGACAAAGAGTCGCCAACTACCAACTACAATTATGGAATGCCGTATGACTTTGGAAGCATTATGCAGTATGGAGCAACGAGGTGAGCTCTCAAAAAAGTAATCACAAAATGTACAAATCGTTCTGGTTTTTGCAGTTTTCAATATCGTGGGGAAGGATACAAATGTAAGACTCGAGAAATTGATTCCAATCCTCATTTCCATTTTTTCTTCAGGTTGCTTGTCGTTCTCCACCTCAGCGCCGTACAACTATGAACTTCTTCATGCGTTCACTGTGAGCGTCTAATGTAGGGTTCCCTACTCTCACCTGTATCACCTGTCGTTCCGTTGATCATCGACTCCCGCGAGCGGGCGCCTGTAACGACTCCATTCGTCGCTGTCACGAGCCAGAGTGGTCCAATAAATCGTCTTCGCTTCGGGGACTTGAATCTAACATTCCTTTCGTTCAGAGTTTTCGTGAAAAAGTCTGATCATCTCGGCCTGGAGTTCATCTGATGTCGTGAGGGATTCAACCAGTAACCACCCTGGTCCAACGGTCAACAATAGATCGCATGATCAACGTTATCCCTGATCTTCGTTCGATGGCGGAGCTGGGAACTCCGGATTCCCTTTTGCACTTGCGTGTATAGGTAAATTCCGAGCATCGTCCTTTCCAAAGCGCGTTGAGTCACGCTGACAGCATGCTCATCCTGCTTTCTGAGCCCAATTCTCTGAGGCGTACGTCAAAGCAGGAACGACAGCAGTGTCGAAAAGGTAAGCGCGGAGCCGGGTGCTCTTTGTCTTTTTCACTACTCCCTCGATATTCTTAGATGCTCCCCACGCGGCGTGTTTCCTGTTGCACAGCTCCGGAGCTAGGTCGTTCATCATGTTGACATCCCGACCTAGATACACATAGATAGAGCATTCGGAGACATTCGTTCCGTTTAGCGTGGAGGGAGCATCAGGTACCATTCCGTTTTCCGTGGAAATCGCTTTCGTTAAACTCAGTCTCAAGCCGATCATTCAATAAGAGTTGTCAATGCAACCAGCATTCGTTCCGCCTTCTCGATCATCGGTGCTATGAGCACGATGTCACCTGCAATGAGGAAATTATGTAAGTAAGACTTGACCTCCTCTTCCTTAGCCGTACCACTCCAAGTGACGTATGATGCGATTGGACGAGATGGTATCGTCTTGCCAAACTCTCCTCTCCACATTAGCAATGACTTCCTTGTATAGCAATTTGGGGTGCGTCTCCTTCTACGTGTCCCTCAAGACTAGGTCACGCCACAGCCGTCGCACACGGTGCGTCAGCCCATCCTTGACGAAAGTCACAGTCGTCAGTAGGCATACCAGAAAAAAGAATCCAGCCCGAAGAGAAGATAACATGGATTAGTGCGAATCATTGTTCCACTGAAACTTAGTGTTATTGTGATGTCATCACGAGAGTGGACTGCGCCGCTCGCGAAGTTGGCAGTGACGTTGTGTCGCGAGACGTGCAGAGCGAACGTTCCACGGCGATTCGTTTCTGAAGTTGCTGTGGAGCTCATGAATCATCCTCAAATATCAGTTAAAACACTCTGGTCGCTTATAGCTTCAACTCGAAAACTTTCTCTAAGTAGCTGAACGTCAGACGCTCTGCGCTCTAACGATATTTCCTAAATCTTGAGTCATTGTGTATAAAATCGATTGTACCGGATCTTCTTCGAATTCCTGCTTGCTCGCAAGTCTGTCCTTCACCTATATTCTATCAAGCCTGCCGAAGATATGTTGTGCGTAATGTTTGCAAATTACAGATAACAGGTAGATTGGGTGATAGCTACCAACATCGTGTGGATCGCCCTTATTATACAACCAGTTCACACAAAAGCATTCTGCATCATTCTGCATTCCGACAGGTAATACCTGTNTACCTGTCGGAATGCAGAATGATGCAGAATGCTTTTGTGTGAACTGGTTGTATAATAGGTTCTGCGTGATGTGTCAGAGTTCTGATAATAACTGGTGGGAGGGTACCAGTGTATCGAGAACTTCAAAGAGGGTGGCAACTTGGTTATTGACTCTCTGATTTTCTGGCACTATCCTGGAGATGGTTGATGACCGTTTGTATTCCCATCATTGTCGATAGCGGATTCTTCCCATGAGCTTGGAGAAAGAGCGAAGTGATCGCAATCGATAACAGCTTTGATGTCTTGTTGTACTATGTACTTGGCAATCCTCTCTCCATGTACTCTGACAGAGTCTACCGCGGAGGACACAATGGCCCGATCCCATGTGAAACCACGGAAGAACACGAAACCTCAGTCAGGCTTACCTTTCGATTGAGCGATGTGATCTGTTTTATGACGGAACTAAGTGCGATTCAAATTGTCAAGCCTTCGTAAGGATAAATATTCATTGCCAAGCGTAGGTCAAGTTCACACCTATACCGCCGACGCCTCTTCTGCAACATGTTCTATGGCACAGTCCTTCTCTAGTCTTGAAGATGGTGTGAAGCGAGCGACGCCTCCTCGTCTCGATCATTCCAATGACGTAATACCTGATCTTCCTGGCTCATACCATCAGATACTGGATACATTGATACTGCCGATTGGGCGTTCATGCATTGAATGTCCCGGCCATCATAGTTTTTCTACTCCTTTCAGACAGCCTCCTATGGCCCTTTTATATTGACAGCCTTCCCAAGCAGTCCTATCCAACGCTGTTATATTGGAGGCCCCCTCGGGTCCATTAATACATATCACTGTTTTCAGCATAAATGTGAAAATCCACGAGTAGCTTGTTAGCCCGACGTGGGGCTGGACAAATTGGCTCCCGGATTACTTCCCAGTCACTCAAGTGCAAGTTTTCAGCTGAATCGATGTGAAGGATACGAATCGTACCTACAGGCCCTCCATAAACGCATGCATGGATACCCCTGCAATGGAAGAGAAAGTATAATCGATCCAGCACACTCAAATAGGGAGTCAACCCCCTAATTCACCTTTGTCTCTGGACGATGATCAGTGGCTTTTGATCCAGGATTCCTTCTCCTAGCCGCCAACTTTGGCCACACCATCTAACGTAGTCGTCGATCAGCCAGAAATCCTTTTGTGAGATAAAAGTCTCATTTCTCATCGATGCCAATTGCCATCCTACTTCCTATTAACTACTCTGACTGTAGACTAGTTCGGGGAGTTGTAGAACTAATGAATGTTTTCCCCATAACAGAAGTTCTTTTTTTGTTTTCCATTGTTACTTTGATTTCTCCATCTTAGTGCTTTGTATATTTTACTTTGACATGGTTTTGGTTTTTGCGCTCCTTCTCCTTACTCTGAAACACGCAAATTCAACATACTTTCCGACTCAATTGATCCGTCCTGGCTCAGTCAAGTCTGAATGAAAGAAGTCAGAAAGAAATTTCGTTAGCATATAACCCGAAAGACTTTGCACTGGTCAATTATGCACATACCAATCGGATCGCCCAGCTAACGTCAGGCTCACCTCCTTCTTGTGTCAAACATCCTCTCCCGAGAAATGTTAGAAATGTTGAACTAAAGAATTTCTTCCCATTTTTCAAAGTTTATAGCATAGTTATTTTTCAAAGTTTATAGCATAGTCTCAAGCTATTTTCCGCGTTCAGCTGAGTTGAGGTTTTTTTCGCTATCTAGCTGAGTGAAAGTATGAAACAGAGCTCGAAACCCTTCTTTGGCACAACAGAAATTGAAAGCTTCCCTAATTCTTTAATAAAGTTACAGTGAGTCTAGCTCTCCATTTCTTTTGAAACAAATGACAGTTTCCTGTTCGCGAAATTTGACACAGGTCTAACAGGGCAGTGCAAATGGTATTAATTAAGTCGGTGTCTACGCCTTCGATTGGAAGTCTCAAAATTTGCTCTCTTTCTTAGGAAATAATACCCATCAAAAATCCAACTTTTAGACAATCCTTACTATATATAAACCACAAATGTCCGTTTTTTTGTATGTTTGTATGTCTGTTTCACTGTAAGATAAGATATACGGCAACGTTTGAAAATCAAAAGGAACAGCTCAGACAGGTTGGAACAAGTGGGGATTGGAGATGAACAAAAGGGGAATGAGCCGAACTCCTTGGGTACACGTGATCTAAGCTAGGCTCCGCCTAATAGGGTCGGGGCTTGCGCGAATAGTGTAGTTCACCGGAAATCTGTAACTCCTTTGCTCCTGAGCCTAAAGTATTCAAATATGGCAGAGATGTAGGTGGCAAGATGGGAAAACTAATGGTAGGTGATAGGTGTAGACCCCGCCCACTGTGGGCGGGGCTTCCTCGAAAACAGTCAAATTGGACCTGGGTCGTTCAAATTTGGCAGAGATGAAGGTGGCGAGACGGGAAAACTAAAGGTGGGTGACAGATGTGAAATCCGCCAACTGGGGGCGGAGCTTTTTCAAAAATCGCCAACTTGGACCTGGGCCGTTCAAATTCGGCAGAGATGTGGTCGCGTCTGTCTGTCCGTCCGTCTGTCTGTCTATTTGTACGGAAACTCATAACTCTTGTCCCTGTGGACCTAGGACGTTCAAATTTGGTAGGAGCACAGGCGGTAGGATGGGAACACGTATGGTGGGTGGCAGGGCTTGACTCCGCCTACAGGGGGCGGGGTTTGTGCGAAATAAATGTTTGAGCGGGAAATCCATAACTCCTGATCCTTGGACTGACTTGGAGGGCAAAATCAATGGAGAAGCAGGACGGGAGCACTGAAGATAAAGGAGGCCTTAGAGAACAAGCTTCAATCACCAATTGAATCCTAGCGCCTTTGTTATTTACAATTTAGCTGTAACTCTTCGATATGTTTCATTCGACAAGAAGGGTAAGTGCACTAATAGGCACCGACTATGAAATTTGGTTCACTTCTTGCTTACGAACGCTACCCAGCGAAGTTTGCGATTCGATGAAGAATCATGGTTTCTCTCTGCTTTGATATCATTCATGGCAAAACTTATCCGACCGCTAATAATCTTAGATTCTCATTTAATGGTGTATCCGTAGATAAAAGGAGCTACATTCATAAAGACATTTGATAATGGTGTTATTATGACTCGGCAACAATTGTGAGTACCATTCAAGGCTTTGAATGCCTATCAGTTAAATCTTCAAAGGGTCATTACCTTCAACATCAACAGCGAGACAGACAGATCCTATTCAAAGGCATAGGCATCGGCACATTTTGGATATCGTTTGCATGCCCTATTGTTCCTCTATCGAACTTCGTGTTCCGAAAAGTATCATTCGTTCCAAAGGAGCTGCTGTTTGCCGTTTATCACAACTTTATCATAAGAAGGAGGGAAGCCCAGCGTGAGCCGGGCCGTACGACTGTCTCGATTTATAAAGCGGTAATTTTGTGCGTCTGTTTGTATGCTCATTTGTGCGTCCTCCCGAAAGTTACGTAGGCCGATGAAAAGTGTGAATGTCACGTGAGCGTGGCGAGGAAACAGTTATGAAATGGGAAGTNTTGAGTTTTGTCGCAAATGATATCGACCAAAGAGGACCCTTAATTGAATCACAAACCTTGTTGAGCAGCGGTCGTGATCTAATAGTAAGAAATGAACAAAGTTCTGATCTGCTTATCGTATTGCCCAATGGGTCACTGCACTTACTCCTCCTTTTTGTCACCCTGCTCTATCATCCCGTCTTATCGATGAAACATACTGAACGGTCAAAGCTACATCGTAAATACCGAAGACGTTTGGATTTTGACAGGTAGGTGGCCTCTCTTAAGTCCCTTAACTTCTCTTATCATCACGTGAAGTCCTAAATCACTTACTGAAATGCTGAGGTTCTACAGTTATTAGAAAAGTGTAATCCTACCAAATTTCAACGCTCCAGGTCCACGTAAACAGGAGTTATGAATTTGCGGCCCAAATCTCTATCACGTACGCCCTGCCCCCTGTGCACGGAATCCGGTCCTGCCATCTGCATAAGTGTTTCCATGCTGCCCCCTGTACTTCTACCAAATTAGAGTTTTCTCAGTTCACGGGAACAGGAGTTATGAATTTCCGGTCAGTTCACGGGAACAGGAGTTATGAATTTCCGGTCGGACACGCACACCGACACACCAACGGTCACATTTAGCGGATTATATAAATTAGTATGTTCTTGGGCACCATAATTCTAGATGGAAGTCATATGGGGGAGCGAACACAGAAACGAGGTTGAGCAATCAGTGACTCAATGCTCTGCCATTCGTCTTGAGCTTTCAAGAGACTTTTCAGATTCAGTAGATTGGTGGAAACAACATTTTCTTAACTCTCTGAACTAGTATGTTCTCACGTCATTTGCAGCGCCTCACGAAACGGAAGAGAAACAATGGTGTCAAAGGACGAAAACTATCAAGAAACAATGGGCTCCGACATTGTTGGCTTCTACGACGTCTCAATGATGAATGAGCATTACAACTGTAAAGGTGATCACTCTATGTGATTTTGCACTTGTTTGTTGAATTCTTAAATAGTTGCTGTAATTGTGATAACCACAACGAAACAATTATAGTGTTGTGCCCACGCGGTAGCTCAGCTCAATGTCAGAATGGAGGCTATCCAAACCCCAATAACTGCTCGATTTGCAACTGCCCAAGTGGGTACGGTGGTAATCTTTGCAACGAAAGGGTTCGTTTCAGCTGGCTATCATTACAGAATCAATAGCATATCAGACTACGCCAAGCAGTTCAATGCTCAATTTTGAGTCTAAGAAAAAACGGAGACGGAGATGTGGGATCTGTGGGAAACCTATTTTCGAGAGGGTCACATTGCATCTATTACATACGGGCGATCTTATTAGGGTTGAATATAATGAGCTATCTGCATAGCATCTCTACTCGAGGAAAAAAATGAAGTGGACTAGAAGAGCGCAGAAGTGGAGCTGGAATGGTAGTGATGCTTTTAAACAAATGGAATTTGTGTATCACTGGTTGACGTGCGAGGCGGATACTAGAATATGAAGCAAATTGTCGGGAGACGGGCACTACGTGCGTCCGAGGACGCGCGCGGCAAACTGCGTGGCGAAATTCGTGACGATTTGTACGAATCTGACCCCAATTTTCGGGGCAAAAACTCGAAGTAGAGTACTTTAGTAGGGTCAGATGGTCTTTCTGATCTACTCTACTTGAAATTTGGGCCCCAATTATAGAAGCTAAAGTCGTTCAAATAGTTACGAATTTTGCCGCGCACTTTGCTGCGCGCATCTCGGACGCACGTAATGCCGCATCCCCAAATTTTCACATTCCCTACCATTTGATAGCGGATTAGGATGGTTCCAGGCGTGGTAGGATGTAGCTAATTTCAAACGTATTAAGTAATGTTATGACATGATTCGTTGCCTACATGCTACTATTTCTAAAATGCTAATGCCACCGTCAAAGTAATGGATGATACGCGGATCTTTCACGGAGTACAAGTTTGTGTAGGGCAATCCAGTCATTCCAGTTTCATACCTACAATCCCTGCCAGTTTTCAAAAATGCAATCAAACACAGTTGCAACTTTGAAGTGTGGATCATTTGCCTCAGAGAGACATGAGCATGCACACCCAGTGAGCCGAACAAGACGGTAACGTATTGAAGTCGGGTTCACGCAACCTGACCGAATTTTGCTTTACATTGGTTGTTTTAATGACTCTTTCAAGCTTAGAGCACCTAATTTTGATCACATAGGTTTTGAATATAAAATTACCACAAACAGCGAAGTTAGAAATGGCATTTCCAAGCGAGTGGCCTTATTTTTAACGACAACAGAAAAAACTGTTACGTTGTTCGATTGTGACTCGCCCACACTCTTCAAAGCCACAATAAAAGCTACTCACATCAAATTGAGTTACCAAATTTCTGTAAACTAGAACACAACAAGGTCCTCATCAGTGAATCAGCAGCATTTTGAAAAAAAAAACTAGCATTCGTATGTACGCTGAAAATTGGCCTGGACTATGTGTCAAAATGGAGGGAGATCAGTGATTTTTTCAAACATGCTGATATTCATGCTTCTCATAAGTAAAATGTGAGGTCCACTAGCTCAGCGGTCAATTAGCAAGCGATTCAGCCACCCATCATCGAAGTTAACAACAAAAATAACTCAAAAACATAATGCAAAGACTCTTCAACCATCACCCTTTCCAGGCCATGTTACATTAGGTAAACAATGGAGGTTATCGTCAAATGTGCCCCATTGCATCATACTGAGGAATTTCAAACAAACAGCCTTGTCCGTTGTACACAACCCTAATGCATGATTTCTTATGTGCTCCTTATATCACGCGATCCGGGCTTTTGAAGACTTGAAACTACTTGTTTTTTGAAATGCACAGCTTCAAAGAATTATCATGTTTTTCAACAAACGGGGGTTTAAGCCACTGTTTTCTGCTAAATGTGTTTGATCTCTGTCGTTGGGGTATCAAAAGAATCACATTTTCATGTTCTCCTCGAATATATTATAATATCGTACATAACTTTCAAACGCTGAAAACGTGGTTCCGGATGGTGGATTCACGATACCAATATATGCGCAAGTAACATTTTAGACACTGAGAGACTCAATTTTTTTTCCCGAAAATGAAAGCAAAAATTAGAAAAAATTGAAAATTCATCGCACATCTGGGTTCACCATGGCAGAGATTCCCGATGGTTTTACATTTGACTCAATTGGCGTAATTTAGCAAAGTTTGTGACGAGGCAACTGCTCGCGACGAATTATTTTGTCGCGAACGGATTAACCCTTTGACGACAATGCGAATTTCAAGGTGACGTGCCCATGGGACCACGCTCTCCTCCTTTCGCGCACGAGTGGCATCCACCGGTGGGTGGCGCTGCTCTAGGAGAAAATTCTTTTTCTGGTTTATTAAATTTAGCAATTGGTAAGAAACTAGGAAATATGGTGGCACCCCAAATTGGGTGCCAATTTCCCATGCGCCAATCATAGTGGCACCCACCGGCGGGTGCAGTTGTCGTCAAGGGTTAATGCGTCGCCAAGAAGTCGGCAGATCACATATTAGTACCCAGTATTGTAGGTCTGACGCCTCTCTGGCTCAAAATTGTGTTCCAATATGAGGGTATCAAATATCAGACTTTTTCAGCCTGATGGATGTGGAGAAAGTTTGAAAGCCGGCCCCGATTATACTCAGTTAGTTAGTTCTATCGGAGACGGCACAACGAGAACAAATATCGACTTCGCCAAGTGTACCTACTGGATTCAGGTCATTCATCCTTTCACTTTTTTTGTGAACTCCAAGGACTGCTTATGAGAGTTTGAAAGGCAATGAAAGTTTCTGATTGTAGGCAGACTTAAGAGAAAAATTGAATTTTAGGCACCAACAGGTACGCGTATTGAAGTACGCATAGACAGTCTTCAGGGATACACAATCGATGGATGCATTTATGGGGGAGTGGAAATCAAAGCTCATCCGGACCAGCTACGAACGGGATATAGGTAAAGTTAGGGTTAGTAACTAAAGAAGAAATTCAAGTTCAGAATTAGGTCATGAAGTTGTTTTCTTTTATCTTAAGGTTACGATGTTGTTTCCTTTTATCGTAAAAGAAAAATTCATGCGACGAGATCACAGCAACTCTAACTCCAAGAATAAGCAGAGTCAATCTGAACGCTCGCTGCAATATCTTTGATCTATTTTCTTTCATATACGCTAACGCTACGCCATTTCGTTACCAAGTAGATTGAACATTCTTAATACCGAGACACTAGGTTTTGCTCGAGATCGAGTATCGGCAAGACGTTGGTTGGTGCTTCGAATCTGTTACCGATTATAACATTCAATCGCTATGGAAGAACGACTTCTGGGCTAAGCTATCGCTATGGTGAGTTGATTTTAGTGAGAGCTTCGCCTGTGGTGCCTCAGCCGCCTGTTGATCAAGCCATTTGTAAATGAAAAGCGTACAAGTGTAAGGGTGAAGTTGTTGCCTCTTTGTGACAAAAACATCCACGGGCTAATAGGCGTACCTAAAGGGATTCTTCAACAACAACTCTGAAGGATAATCTCGCGAGGACCTTTGGCGGTTAGCGTGGTGCGTATGGATGATAGAAACATTGGACCAAGCAGCTTATAACGGAGCGCATAAGGCGTAAAAGATTGGCTGGATTGGCTGGTGCTTTCATTATTTCGATAAGCGCTCGCAGCGCTGTAAATAGCACATCAATGAGCATGGAGCGAAGGTGATGTATATAAGAAAGAGATAAAAATGGTAATAGGCTTACTTACTTAGATACTTAGATACTTAGACGACCCGATCACACGGTGGTTGGCCTTGCGCGGGTCCCAACTTCTTTTCCATTGTTCTCGATCTTGAGCTCTGGTTGTCCAGTGCGTAGTCACCCTAAAGGACTCCGGATCATCAACGTTTTTCCGATAACCTAGAGAATCTGCCCATCGTAAAGGAGGACGGTCATGCGGCCGCTTCTTCTCTCGCTGGTACCATCGTATAGTGGCCGAGCTCCATCGTCCATCCTCTCTTCTCATTAGGTGTCCGGCAAATCTGTGCTTCTCTTCATCGACGTGAACTAGAACGTCTTTAACTCTTGACATTGCACGACACGTCGGAATTATGAAGTTTGAGCTCTATGCCGACACTGCGTTAGACCCAAAAGACGACCTTCAGTCGAAGCCTGGGTGGACACTGAACGTCTTTCCAGTGATTTCGTGAGAGCCCAGGTTTCTCCCGCGTAGCTGTGGACAGGCAACACCGTTGAATTAAATAAGTCTGCTCGAAGTTTGCAGTCCCTGGCGTCTTCTAGTACGCTTCTTATGGGGTTAAATGCTGCCCATCCAGTCTTGCAACGTCTTGCTAACTCTCCAGTTAAGTCGTTCCTCATGTTAAGCTGGCTCCCGTGGTACACGTACTCGTCAACTCTTCGATAGCACCTTCTTTTAGAAGTACGGGGGTATCACCTGAGAATTGGTTTCGCATTACTTTGGTCTTATAAGTATTGATGGTGAGACCACAGCGGCTTCCTTCCTCCTCTAGGCGATGCAGCATCTCACAAGCGTGTTCTGGAGAGTCTGTGATTAACAAGATGTCATCGGCAAGTCGCAAATGGTTAAGACGCACACCGTCGATGTTGACACCAAAGTTACTCCAGTTGCAGCGACGTATGACGTGCTCTAGGCAAGCGGAAAACAAGTTTGGCGATGTCGGATCTCCTTGTCGTACCCCTTTCTGAACTGCTACTACAACGTCATTGTAGAAAGGATGGAATACCGTTGTACAGTCTGCGTAGCATTCTCGTTGTGCGTCCACGTAGATCCTTCCAACACCTTG